TTTTTTGGCGCCCAACGTGGGGCTGGCACTACATATTATATAACTTGTAAGTACACGCTTCGTATCATTTACATCTGGTGGTCAGCGTTAGACCCCTCATCGCCATCGTTGGACGTGCTGCTAGCCACCATCAATCTCACTCACGGAAACGTCATTATCTCCAAGCTACTTGGCCGCTGGATACAAGAACTATCATTGACACTGATAGATTCATGTCGTCAGCCGCATTTGAATAGTCGTCGTTTCTGCTACCTCTTCGCTCGCTTACCATCGCTTACGGCCGTCGCTCCAGCTCAGCACACACATCGCTCTCGAACACTGCCGCCTTCCAGTCATCATCACCCTCGCTATCATTACTTTGATTCGTTGGTTGCACTGCACCAAAAGGCGCACATATCGCCACACACGTATGTATGTATGCACCTTGGGTTTGACCACCCTTTTTTCTAGCTTGCCATTGCCACTGTCGCAAAACATTTCCCTTTCGCGACTACACGTAAGTAATCCCTCAATAACAGCCACAAATTGCCATTTGCGTTTTAATTTTTGCCGCCTGAAATTTTACTGCCTTTAACAATGTCTTTGGACGAATTAAAGCAACAGCGCGCAAATACTAAGAAAAACATCACGCGCATCAAGAACATTGTGGATGCTAGTTTACGTCCAGGAGGTAAAACTCTCTCAGCTGCCGAATATAAATGTCGTTTGGGCATTTTTGAATCTTACTTTAAACAGGTACTGTCCATTCAGACGGATATAGAAAAATTGGATCCCGACGATGGAGGACGCGCGGACCTTGAGGAATTGTACGTCACTACAAAATTAACGATTCAAGCACAGCTAGTGGAGGATCATAATATTTCGCTTCCGGAAACAAGCTGCATTGTGCAGCACAGCACTAAATTACCAAAGCTCAAACTCCCAACGTTTAGCGGCAAGTATTCTGAGTATCAGAATTTTATTACATCCTTTAAACAGATAATTGATAAAGAATTTAGTCTTTCAAACATCGAGAAATTTAATCATTTGCGAAACTCGCTTCAAGGTCAAGCTTTAGAAACCGTCGATGCATTCCAGGTGACCAATGAAAATTACCCTAAAGCATTGGAACGGCTGAAAGAAAGGTACGACAATAAAACTTTAATTTTTTTGGAAAATATCTCTTCTTTATTCGAGTTACCAGCGGTTTCGAAACCAAACGCACTACAATTGAGAAGTCTTATCGACAAGACTTCTGCCATTTACGGTTCACTTCTCTCGTTGGGTAATGAAATGCAAATTTCCCAAGCCATGCTCATTTATTTGGTGCTTCAGAAATCGGATGAACAAACCAATAAAAAGTGGAAAGAATCTTTGGATTTTAAGACGCTGCCGACGTGGGGCGACTGTGTGAAGGTGCTGGAAAGGCATTGCCAATATTTGGAGTCGATGGAAGCTAGCCACACAGGATCAGCAGTTATTCCAGGTAACAGCAAAGCTGCATTAAGTAAGGTAAGGAATCAGCCAAAGGGATATTCATTTACCTGCTCCAATACGCCGTGCTCTGTTTGCTCAAGCACAAACCATAAAATTTCTAATTGCGATCGTTTTAAGTCTTACAACATCACCCAGCGATTCGACCAAGCGAAGAAAATGGGACTTTGCATCAATTGCCTGTCTAAAGGACATCAAATGGCTCAATGCCCATCAACCCACAGATGTAAGGTTTGCTCAAAGCAGCACCACAGCTTACTCCACCGCGGGTCCACATCAGCCCAACAGACAACAAATCCTCCACCATCACGCGAAGCCGCAGTGCACACACACATGCACAATTCGTCGTCTGACAATGTTATTCTAGCAACTGCCATGATTTTAGTTCGTGATTCGTCAGGTGATTACAGACTAGGCAAAGCCCTGCTAGATTCCTGTTCTCAGGTGAATTTTATTACTGAGGAATTCGCACAAAGACTGTCGTTACCGAAGGGTAAACAAAACATTGAAATCCAAGGCATCGGTAAGTCGTCAACAAACATTAGATACAAAACTTCCACTAATATAAAATCGCAGCAATGCGAATTCGAACTTCCGCTGACGTTCTGCATTACGCGGCACATTGCCTATCAGCCAGACCCTGAAATCGATATTTCTTCTTGGAATATTCCAAATCCATATAACGGTAATTTAGAAAAATACGAAATCCTCGATAAATCAGTAAATATTAAAGCTAATTTTTTCAAAATTAATGGGTGCAACAATTCTTAACAAGGAAATATGTTTGTGACAAAATTTTGGAAAATGGGCGTGGCACCGCCCACTTATGATCACATATATGTGTCTCGGTAACCGTTCTACCAATTTGTACCAAACTCGGTACGGTTATTGTGCTTGCCACACAAAAGCAAACCGTTGAAAATTGTTGAAATCGGACTAAAATTACGGCCGTTTTTCATATAACCGGTAAATTTCAGAAATGCTTGAAATTTCAATATTTCGAAATTTAAGGACGCTAATTTACTTAAAATTTATACACCCCGGCTTATCATGTAGCGGCAGCTTTCGGAAAGGTGGAAAACATATATTTAATACTTGCGCCGGGTATTTAATGTTCGGCTCCGCCCGAACTTAGACTTTCTTACTTGTTTTACTTGGTCTTATCTCAAAGGCCGCTCGTAATGGCCCCCATATGGATTGATAAGAAAATATATATGTATATAGTTATTTATTGTTTTTAGTTCACTTACTTTAAAATTAACACTTTCACGACCAAGGGAACAATCTTCCCATAAAGTTTTTCCACTCATAAGAAAACTGTGTGAATCATTTTATGTTTTTTATAACGTGCCTCCTGTATATTTAACTAGCTATTTTTATTATAAAATTTTAGAAATAAATATTTATAATATTATAAAAGACGTGCTTTTAGAAAAAAAGTTACTGATCGAAAAAAAATTAGTTTTTAGAAAAATCCAACTTTTAGAAAATAGCTTAAAGATAAAATATACATTTGAGAGTACAATTAAAAAACTAACTTTTAAGAAAAAACTATACTTTAAAAAAAATATTTTGTAGGAAGAAATCTTTAAATAAAAAAATATTTTTACCAAAAGTAGAAAAAATGTACAAACAAATAAAAAAAAAATTCCTGGGAAAAGACGTAGCGTGTAAATTATAAAGTTTTCTGTTTTTTTTTATAATGTGCCTTCTTTTATTTAACTAGCTCTTTTTATTACAACATTTTAGAAATAAATATATAATCCAAAAAATAAAAATTACCTCAAACCTAAAAAAAAAAAATTACAGAAAAAAGGTAGGGATAGAAAAAAAAAATTTAGAAACAAAATGCTTATTAGAAATGTCCCATTGTTATTAAATAATTAATTAATAAGATTTTTAAAACTCAAGTTTTTTATTTTTATCTGTAATTTTTAAAAAATATTTTTAGAAAGAAATCTTACAAAAAACATATTTTTACCAAAAGTGATAGAAAAAATAGTTTCTAGAAAAATCGCATTTTCAGAATAAAAATTTTAAAAACAATATACACTTGCTGCAAAAATTAAATAAAAAGGAATTTTTAAGAAAAATTAGTACTTTTACAATTATATTTTACCAAGGAATCTTAAAAAAAAAGTTATACACACAGAAAAAAAAAACATTTTGCGTGGGAAAAATGTGGGGAAACAATTTTGGGGAAATGTAGAAAATATTTGTTCCTTATCCCTGTTTAAAAAAAGGCCAGTCTTTTAACGACTTCTCATTTCTTCGTGTATATTTTTAATGATAAGATTAGATCCCGAAAGGGTTAATAAATATTTCTAGACGAGAAGCACTCGCTTTAAAAAGCTGTGAGCCAAAATCGTTTGAACTTGGCATTCTAAGTCTGAGAGCTTAAAGAAATGAAACAGTTTTGTAGAACGCAACTGTATATTTGTTTCTGAAATGTATGAACAACAGAGCCACAGATTGGCACGGCGTTATCAGTTGATTGTTTTCGGTTCAAGAATCGTAGTTCTCAATGAACAACAGACAAAAAAAAAAATGACAAAAAATAATCATTGAGGCTATTATCACCAGATGAGCAATTCCCATTAAAACGAGCTAGAAAAAGGTTTTTATTGTTGTGTATTTATTTCAGTTTCAAAACTGTTATAAAAAAGAAGGAATAATTGAAAATGAATACATTCATGAAAATCTAAATCGTTGGAAAAGCATTTCATATTTTTAAATTAACTGTGTAAAGTTTATTTTATAATTAAAAAAAAAGAAATAAATTTGAATTAGTTTTTGTTTATTACTTTTCGCATTACTCAGCTAATTGTTTGATAAGTAAAGTTACATATATTTCGTGTTAATTTCTTTTTTCTCGTAATTATTATTATTTCCATTTAGAACAATACACACTTCTTTGCCGGATGCATTTTGCTGCCCAACTCGCACTTTAGCTCACGCGCGAATTCACCGAGATTAGCTAAGGCAGTGTTCACACGTATCGACTCCGGTGTACCATCGAACTGCTTCACCGATTCATGGTAGTCCACACACCACAACTGCGCATAGCCAATGAAGAACAATTGTTGTGGCGTACGGTTCAGCAACGGCAGCGTTTCTTTGCTCAACACATCCTCCCGATCGGCCACGTTCTCCCACCACCGTTGATAGGCGCGTTGTGCAATAGCCAAAGCACCACTATCCAAAACACTCTCCGCCTCGGGTTTTTTATACAAAACAACATAGTGATCGCGATGATAGAATTCTTTGTAGTAATTTGCATAGAAGCAAGTGGCGCGTTTATCGTACGCCTGCGCTAATGGCGCATCCAACCAGGAGCGCTGGTATCCCTCCTGATCGTAACGCCGTCCGGCTAGATTGAAGCCGCGCAACATTTCGTGTGCCAACAGGAAGCCAAGTGTGGCATAGCGCAATGCGTGCGGGTACTCAGGATCCCAGAAGAAACGTGACTGCAGGAAGGTTATGGGTATCTCGATGTTGTTATTGGACGGGTTGTAGTTTGGCAAACTCACTTCCGGTTGCACTGACTGTGGCTTGGCGAACAGTGTTTGCAGGTTATGTTTTGTCTGCCATTCAAGCGTGTTAATCAAATTGCTGTAGTACTGACCTTGGTGTATATTTAAGTCGCGCAACTCATCTGCGAGCTCCACGTCCTGGTGCGATATCAATTGTAGACGTATCTTCTCCAACTTCTGTATGGCGTTTCGGCGTGAGCTCTCGGAAAGCCATTCAAATTGCGTTGACGTGAGATCATCGTGAAAAGTGCGTTTGATATCAGCCCAAGTGGATTGTAGCTCATTGACTAGCGTTACGCTGTTGTAGTTGCGATTGAACATGCTCTGCAGCTGCACTGGGAAGNAGCTCATTGACTAGCGTTACGCTGTTGTAGTTGCGATTGAACATGCTCTGCAGCTGCACTGGGAAGAAAGATATAATCTTGCGCACACACCAGTTATCGTTGTCGGCCACATTGATTTCACCACCAAAATCTAGATGCTCTAGCACGCGCCACATTGTGTAGTTGGCTATGTGTAATTTAGGCGTATCCCTTATCACCTCAACCAGGTTAGACAGGTACTCTTCAGGTGCCTCGTAGACCTTTGAGTAAATAGTCTGGTTTAGCACAATCGTTAGATAGCGATTAAGATCGACATATCTGCCATAAGCGGTTTTCAGTTCACTCACGAAGCGTTGACGCGTTCTCTGCAGCAGCGTCAACATTTGATTGTCTGGCAGTCCCTTGGCTAAATGCCTTTCAATATCGAGCACTTGCTGCGCAACTTCCTCGGCCCAACGTTCGCCCATATTCGGGAAGTTTGTATGCAATTTTTCGGCTATATTATCTTTGTAATCGTCACGCTCGTCATCATAACTATCGTCCAAGTACAATGGCTTTCCGCCCAGTGTCAGCTTTGGCGCTCCCACTCTCAGCCGGTTCATATCCTCCTCACCGAAGTCTGGCACCACCTCCAAGCCAATCAGTATGTCCACACCCAAGCGACGACGCAACTCAGCAACTACCTTCAACCAGTCATACTCGTACTCATACCAACTGTTTGACATAATCGCTGGCCAACCACCACGAAAGTCAACCTCCTTTAAAATTGGTTCTACGCCCAACTTCTGTACGGCCACTTCATTGCGACAGGACTCGAAAAATTGTGTTAGTTTGCGATCGGCTGAGTTGTCCAACTCGCGCCCGCTTTGCAGCATATCGGCACTCTTGCGGACGTACAGATCCTGCAGTTGATCCAGATATGCGGTCTTTTGTTTGACTGCGGAGGTGGGCTGTAGTCTGCGCCATCTGCCGCAAGCAAACTCATAAAAGTCCGCACAGTAATCCCTATCCGGGTCGATGTAGGCACGCATCTGCGCGGCCTTGGCTATACGCAAGATGCCGCTGCTATAGTTTTGCGCAAGTGCATGTTGCTGCGATGCCGAAAGGCATGCCAGGAGCACAAGTGCCGTTATTAGTGCTCGAATATGAGAAAGCGCGCTCATTTTTCGCCGCTGTCCTTAGGCGATTAGGAAATTATATGTAGATATATATATATTTTGCCTCAATGAATTATATTGATTTCGTTTGCTGTTTACCGTTTCTACGAACCGCACTCGCCGTTTTGTTTAGTAAGACTAAACAGCCTGTCGCAGTCATCTGCACCGCCTGCACAGGCAATATTTATCAATTTTCTCATCTCACATCTTGCCGAGCACAGTTTTTCGCTTTCAGCGTTAATTGAGTTAATCTTTTTTAATTAATTGAAGACATTTTAAACGATAAGCACGCGCTACTCATCAGCAGCCAGCTAGGTTGTTTGACTATTCGCATTTTTTCCAAAACCGGTTTGCGAGTTATTCGAAAAGTATTTGACTGCAAATTGAAAAAATATCCGGTTTCCGATTTTGCGATTAAGAAAAAACCGGATAAACGGGTTTTATTTTACATAGTGTTCATACATGAAAATGCTTATTTTGGTTTGAAGTCATACCCAAAAGGTACAATAAAACTATTGATAGTAATGACAGCTTTCATTTAGAAAAGAGCAAAACAAAGTAATTACAACTTTTTTTAGATTAACAATAAAACAAACAAAAATCAGTTTTAACTTTTTTTCAATACTTTATTGCATTTTTTCTGATTCTATTCTAAAAAGAAGTTTTATTCGATTGAAAAAAAAACGGTTTCATCGATATTCGAAAAATTAAGATTTCAAAAAATAGCCTACAGATATCCGAAAAAAACCCGTTTAAAACCGGGAGTCAATCACCCTACAGCCAGCACATAATTAATGCTCACACTTTGCACTGCTGGCCGGCAAGCTTTTCTGCCTCAGAGTTTTACTCATCAGCTAAATTTGTCAGAGTTAATGTTTTTTTTTTTGTAATTGCTCACAGTGCAATATATGGACATACGTATACACATATTTAAAGTACTACACACATACAAATGTACACATTTACATCATTTAAGAAATGAAGCGCCGCTGTATGGCCTAATTTAATTACAGTGACCGACGTCGTCGCAATATTTCTTTGTAGAAATTCATTATTATTTGAAATTATAGTAAAGTAAATATTTGATATTTTCTTCAGTCAGCCCTTTAACATAGTAAAATAGCCACATCAAGGTCAATTTAATTACTTTGCTAATGAGAAAATTCATTGATACAAAACAAACAAATTATAACGACTTTGCTTAATTAGACAAACATTTACAGATTTCCTTTGGACGAAAGGCGTAGAAATTATTTAAAACAGGCAGCATTTACTTTGTCTATTTAATTATGAACGTCTTTAAAATACTAAATACTAGTCAAAAACCATTACGCAGATGAGTTGCGTGGTTTGTAGAGTGACTCCGAAGACAAGGACTCACAAAAGTAATCTACCACAAAACGTATATTTTAAACCTAATGAGGAGGATTGGCACACAGGCGTATCAAAATTTAAAAATATTAAAACCGATGCTGGTAAATTTGAGCTCAATTTCAAAACCTCGCTGCAAATGGGCACCATGCCCCCCAAATTTCAAGCAGAGATGCATAAATGGATAAACAGATTGATGAGTAGGTATGCACAGCGACCAAGAGATACATTGTGCGCTCAATTATTCACAGTACCATATCCAAACATAGACTTCCCCAGAAATTTGAAGAGAGCTCCAGGGGTTAGTGATTGTATGAATTCAACACTTGGCTAGAGTTGGCCTAGCTATCTTTCCTGTGTTCTGAGAACCGCCTGGCCCTCGCAAAGCAGATGTAATAGTGTCTCCTCTATCGAATCGCATCAGCGACATAGGTCGTTCGACCAGATCCCTAGCTTAGCAGGTAACCTTTAGGCATTTATCCTGGCGTAGATCTACCTACGGTGTTACGACAGTATTGTTCTCTGAGTTTGTTTCTCTACTTCCTGAGCACTTGCTTTATTGACTTGCTGGATCCGATTGCAAGGAAGGCTCTATAAGAAACGAGGCGGCCGTCGTTCTAGCTAGATGGTTCCCAAATTAGTTGGATAACATTGTGCTCCGTCAGGCGTTAAGCTTATCAATGCACTCCAGCACCCAGAAGGATTTAACCTCAAATGATGTGAGGACCTTGAGTGCAGCTTGACTATCACTCATTACAAGGATTTTCTCACTACGGTAATTTCTATGTGGGTTAATCTCTGCACGCAGACTAATAGCATATACCTACACCTGAAAGATACTTGGTTATGCTCCTATGGGCACCTAGAGCCTTGGTCCGCAGATGTCTGAGGAGTTTTGGAGTCATTTGCATACCGCAGGTTGTATATGTATGTCCCTTTATTGAGGAAGTACTCCAACTGGCCTTGCTGAGAAGCTCTAATATCAAATTTCATACAAAAACTATTGATTTAGGTTTGTCATCTCTGGAGAACACAGCTAATGGAATCCGGAACCCATGTTCCGCGATGATAAAGTCTTGTCTCTGTCAAAGCCTTTTTCAAATTCGGCGCTTAGTTAATCAAATGATGTCTTATCTTACGATTTCGCATGGCGACTAATTGTCTTTGGATGTAACCATGTATATATGTATAGCACCCGCGTTAAACCTCTAAAAGTAGGCACAATATAAAAGCTTTCAATTATTACATATGGTAAAGTTTTGTGCTCGGAAATGATCGAGTTCTTAAAAAAAAATATTTGAATCCATTAATTCCATAAAAAATCAATCAATAGTATAAAACTACTTAATTTTATCATTCCTGCTCGTTTTTCCCAGTTTTCCCAGCTAAATTTTTTAAGGCATAACTAGCTAAATGAACTTATAACAAAACTGTTTTAACCCTTTCACATTAATCCATTTTACTTAAAACCTCATTTGAGAGATGAGTGAACTATTATACCATGAAGTACAGTATTTATAGCATATCTGTGCATGGGTATAAATGTAAGTGTGTTTACATGTTGTAAAGCATGTAAGTATGTAAGTTTGCAAGCAAAGAAAACAACTCTTTGCTAATACCCGTTATAAAACTTTGATAGTACAAATCTATGTATGTATGTATGTATGTACATTGCATTCTTCGCCTTGCTCACTCATGTACTGACGATTATGTTTTTCTCGCCTTTGTTGTTGCTTGTTTTCTTGTTGTTGTAATGGATACTTTCAAAGATTACAACAATATGCTTTCACAGTCAATGTTTACACAATTTTAACTTTATTATAGTTGAAAGTGTCCCTTGGCCTCGTTAGTGCACATCATAAAAAAGTTTTCGCCTGCTGGCTGACTACTTGCCACATTCTGTTGGATGCTTCCACTACTTTACAGGCGAAAGCTTGTACATACCTTGCAGGGAAAGCCGGAACCAAATTTCTAGTTCCGTACAGATTTGTATCGTCAAAAACAAACCAGTCGCCAACAGCCATTGCGCATCTTGCTTTCACCAGCGGTGAGGTTCGGGTAGTCGTCGAGTGGGCGAAAGCCTCCAAAGCCATCGGTCTCGACGATAGCAGATTATCTCGTCAAGGTCTTCAATCGGTCCATGGCTACTCCCATAGTTCGGAACATCTGGAAGAAGTGGCCAACAGTGCAGGGTCTTATCGGCTACCCGGTAGATAAGTCATTTGAGGCCTTACTAATCCCGCACTTTATGAACCGTCTGACCTCAGCGAGGCATCAGAATGGATTCCGTAAAGTGCACAGTACAACAACAGCACTTAACACCATAGACAGTTAGATAACACGTGACCCAAACCGAAACCACCCCTGCGAGCGAATAGTCCTAGCAGCGTAGGATCTGTCAAATGCCTTTGATACCGTCAGTCAAGCCACGCTACTATAAGACATTGAGAATTCCTCTCTACCACAGGGACTCAAACGGTGGTCGCCGAACTATCGAGTGCTCGACATTCATCAGTAATTTTTAGATACAAAACCAGCAACCCGAAGAAAATTAGTCAGTTGGTTCCAAAGGGTTGTGTCCTTTCCCCGCTGCTGTAATACATACATACATTTCCAATTGGCGTCAGTTGGCACAGAAGAGAAACGACTGGTGTGCTTTGTTGAACTCGGCCAAAATCGCTTAGGCGGTTACAGCGCCAAATAAAAAGAAGAAGAAGTTAAGCTTGACGGCCGAGTTAATAGACATCTCACTCATCTGTGTTTCCGTGCACAGAAGCATACACGGAAGTGAGAGGACTGATGAGATGACTAAGGTCAGAGCATCTCTTTATGAATCCGAAGCAGAGACAATAAACTGTCCACGCGGATTAATCAAAAGGGAACTGCATTTGCAATTCGCACGTATGGCTGATATACGTTGGAGCAACGTTCAAAACCCTGCAAAACTGCGATGAACATATGACCGCATTATGAAAATTAAAGACAGAAAAACTTCTAAAGGGGTACAGGAAATATAAGGTCAAGTTAACAGCCACGATAATGGGATTTTGGCCCATTGGCGAATATGCAGCTAAAATGGGCCTAAGTGGGTAATCTTGAGAAGAGTAAGGAAATGGTCCAACCGTTGCGGGCGCCCAGTATTGGCCGAATAAGGCATGATACACTCGAGAGTTTTTTCATCAAAAATTTCAGGCAGACCTCCAAATGCACCATTTCTAACCTAACTAGCTAGGTCGAAAAATCAAAATGGTTTCACGAAACCGACGAATCATGAAAGCAGATAAAATCAAGGATGCCACGGAAAGCATGTCAAAATGGTGCTATCAGCACTAGTTCAGTCCTGTGCATGTGCTCAGGCGCCGCTATTACCAACCAACCAGTGCAGTACTAACTAGTCGTTTCCCAACAGGGAAGTATACTTTGTGTGTGGGTGTGTGTGAGCGTGAATGTAAGCGTAGCAAATACGAATTACAATAAGCGAAAAAGAATAAAAACAAAATATAAACTAATACAATGCTACTACGGATGATGATTACTAAAACTTCACAGCGCCGACGAGGAACAAATATAGGCTACGATAAGGGGGAGTGTACACAACACTAACACCAACAACGGAAGTTGTTACATAAAGCGTACAACTTCACTTAATCTTAACATAGGGCGCTGGAGTAGGAGCGATGATGCGACCGGATGTGATGGCTGGAGGAGCGTTTAAGCTTATGAAAGCGCGCAGATTGAAAATCACAAATGCGCGGAAAGTTTACGACTATACGTACGAACGTACGACTATACGTACGTTACTTACATACATACTTACATAATCACAGAGCAGCGCGCGCAACATGAGCACAACAACAAGCATAATAATAATAACCACCATAACTACTTAAAGAATAACTACCATAAGAAATTACAATAACAATACAACAGCCTGTACATTAACATTAACATAAAAAAATCAACGCAAGCAACAGCGCACCGATGAAGGCAGCAGGCCAGTACGGATGCGGCGATTACTTTTACAATAACAGCAACGATATGGAAAAACTTTAGCAATTTATGTAACATAATTATTCTAAGGACGAAAGAAAAGAAAAATAAAACAAAGCTTAATACTTAGACCAATGTTGTGTAGCGATGAAAAGGTGGAAGAATGCGCGCCATGGCGGAAATTTAACACAAATAAATAGTACGTGAAAACAGGGAGAGAAAGAGAGATATGAGCTGGTAGTATGTAGCGCGAGCTAATTTCGTTGTCTAAAAGCCGGAAAACGGTGAGAGGGAAAAAGTAAAATTCTTGGAAGTGTAATAAAGCGGGTATGACATCTATAAAAAGGCCAGTCGTTTAATAATAGGTCACTTTGTTTAGTAAAAATGATGGGCGAAAGAACTAAAGGAATTCTGCCGAAAGCTTTTACCATGACCTGCACATTACCTAATGATGCTCGCGTGTTTTTTTTTCTTTATACTTGTAACTTTCCAGAAATGTGAGTTTAAAGAAGTATTAAAGTGAGGTGAACGCCAAAAGTTTTAAGTATTTTTCGGTATATCGTCAACGGAAGCATTGAATGTAGATGCCATTCATTGCGACCGATTAATCTCTTTAGGAAAGTGCTTCACTGAATGCCCTGAGGCTGAGGGAACTTAGACTGTGAAGAAGAACGAACATACAAACGCGCATGAACGAATCCTGTACTCCTTCAACAACCCAAGAATTCTCGAAAAATCTGACTACATCGGGAAGCGAGCCTGTTGGCCGCAGCCGTCCGCGTTTGCGCGGCACCACTGAAAAACCTAAGATGCTGAAACCAAATATGCGCATCGCATTGAAGGCTAAAAAAAGAGCTAAAATTTACTTTTAATTCCAAATAATTCGCTTATCAGCAATAAAGCAAGAGAAAATACTACTCGCGTGTTTTATTTCCTTTTTTGTTAAATAAATCAAGCGGGCGTTATTTCACTTTCCTTGGGAAATAAAGCCCGAGGCCATTATTGGTCTTTCGCAATGGAAATAAAGCCCGCGGGCTTTATTGCCTTTTATTGTTGGGCGCTATTTCCACTTCGAAACGTAAATAACGCCCATGAGCTTTATTTCCCTCTTTTGGGAAATAAAGCCTATGGCTGTTATTTCGAAAAACTGACTTCAGATCCCTAATTAGCAACCCCACAAACCCCCTGGTAACAAGTTCCAACCAATGACAATGCGTAAATCGTTCAGTATCAACGTTTTAAATTTACTAGTCTCTTTTCGAGAGCATATTTTCGGGCACTAGACCCATTCTAACTGCCCAAGACAGGTATGTAATTAAAGGAATGTTCCCCAATAACACCAGAGTAAGTATATGTAAAAAACAAATTTTTAGCTGCATTTTAACATGTCAATAAAAAAATTTAGAACATCAGCGTTTTTATAAAAAACCGACCAGCGCGACCTCTAAGAAAACTTTTTTTTTTTAAATAAAAAAAACACGTATCTCAGTTTTTATCACAAATAACCATAATTTGAGGTAACGTTCATGAATTTCCAAAAAAAAAAATTTGAAAACCATGTATATCCGTTGGTTTTGCATGTTTTTTTTCGAAGAACACTATTTTTGACCAATTTCTTTAAGGTCAAGGAGTAATTGTGGCTCCATGAAAGGCAATTACATTTGGTTTCAAAGCCATTTTGTTTTATATCAAAATATCGTATTTTCCAGTCGAGAAATGTAATTTTGAAATTTTCAAATTACTACGGTGTATTTTTTTCTCAAAAACATATCTATGACTCAAACTATACGATTTGTAAAAATATAATTCATTTATAAACATTATATAATGTCTATCATACTTGGGCGTACAGAATTGTTGATTCCTAATTCTAAATTAGGCCACCACGGGAAATAAGCTAGTTTGGTTTCATTTGATCAAGATTTAGCTATTAGCTTGTGATGGTTAAATAAAACACGTCTAATAAATATGAAAACAATTAGTGGAGAAAGACGGTTTCTTCTTTGTAAAATTATTGTTCCTGCTTTAGAAAATAGTCGTTCACGAAGAACCAAGAACGCTACAATGCAAACTAACCCGCTGCATGCTTATAAGTAGCTGGAAGGAAGTGTACTTGTACAGACGAAGCAAGAATGATAGAATACAAGATTGCGTCCATCAGAGAGGATTTTTGAGAATAACTTTTGTGTGACGTCACACTGGTGCAATTGCGAGAGAGAAATGCCAAAACGTGAGCAAGAATGGAAGAAGTAGAAAAATGTTGCAAGGAAAACGTAAACAAGTTGCACAAGTGTGACGTCATACAAACAACGATTCTGTCAAATTCACTGAGAGAGGAGTAGCGGTACCGTGATGAGCGCAACCTCTATTTTTCTCAATCGTGCAGACGAAGTACAAGACTCAGTACTTGGCAGAGTTGTTTGATTATATACTTCTTATTACGGGTATATGAACACCACTAGTCTTCGTTGTGTTCTGCGACACCCTAATGTACGCAGGTATTTATTAAATAAAAGGCGCAGAGCGTATTTAATAATTTGTAGCCATAACAACCAAATATTTTTTTATATAAAAAATATTCTTAGCCAACTGTCTAAACCCTCCTCTGTTAAAAGCACTACGTTTTAGTTTATGATATTCTTGTAGTTCCTAAGTAATTTTTACGAACTTTTGTTTTTTGCTCTTCTACTTTTACGCAATCGACGCTGCCGCCCAAAGGTCTATTTGACATCATTAATGGTTGTAAACATCAGCTAAATCTTAACGCAAATTTGAACGTCATTCAAGAAAAGTTGAGGAAGCGCCAACAAGTTGAAGTGCGAGAAAAAAACGTATGTATGTATGTAAGTATTTAGGGTGGTCCTTAAAAATCACAGGAACGATTTTTTCTGTCTCACCGCTTCAATCGGTAACACCACTGTCATAGATATCACATATAAATTTTGATCGCCATTGGAGACGGTTAAGGCGTGTCGGACAGGGGGCAAAGATCCCCTAAGGGGTTGTCAACCATTTCTGGAATATTTCTTTCTAGTCACAAACAAAATTTCAATGGCCCAGGACCGCTCCTTCTATTTTTTCCAAAAAATGGTCCGAACCACTTTGCGACGTAGGGGTTGAGGCTTAGAAAATTTTCTACCTATGTTTAAGGACCACCCTAATATATATGTACTATAAATAAATAAAAAAAAATCTGCAAAACGTTAAATGAAACTTATGACCCCCAACAGCGTAAAAGATAGAAATGGATAGTAGAGAGCGTCTTGGATGAGGCTTGGATGGAGCTGACGGCGTGAAAGATGCCGTGCCGAAGACACGGATGACAAAAGTATAAGCTCAAGCGCGCTGTCAGTGGCAACGGCGACTAAACGGAAATTAATAAGCACATTCTAATGATTGTTGCAAAAGTTGTCTGCATATAAAGCTGTAGGATGGCTGTAATTGGGCGCTGGAGAGGTCATTAGTGGCGACAAGCTGAAGTTGATTTTCTTTGGCGATCTTAATATACTTTCCTCTAGAACTTTGTTATCTTTTTTTGCGTACGTACATAGATTATTGCCATGGTAAAATTTTATTATAATAAGTAGGTATTTTTATATTTTTTTTTACTAATCTTTTTTTTTTCTTTATTGCGAACTGCTGCAAAAGTTTTTTCCGTTCCGTACTTTTCTCTACCCTTAATCACTTTAAGTGCAGTGAAGTTTATATTATATATACATATGTATGTAACTTTAGCATTTCTTCAAACTAATGAGTGTAAAATAAAAGACTATAACTTTTTAGGAAAATTCTTTTTTATGCTATTTTGATGCAAAGAAATGAGAAAAAAATAAGCAGCTTCAAAATCTCTACTAAAACCAAAAGCTGTGGGTTGAGTTGTTTTTGTGGTTTCTACTAAATATGCTACCTACATATCTACTCACCGCCATCACAGGGAAAACTCTCAGCTAACACGGTGAATAATTTATCCGCGAGCAGGCAGCGTCCTCTGGGTCCCAATGGCACACGACACACCGGACATTTGAGCGAACGGCTGCGGCAGTTGTTGCATAACACATGTCCGTTACAACATTGCCAACCAGGTGGACGAATAACCTAGATTGAAAGAAAGAGTAAACGATATTTTAAATACATATTTAGTTAGTTAGTACTATAGATGCAAGCTAGATTTGTTTTTAAGTACATATAACGGGTGATTTTTTAAGAGCTTGATAACTTTTTTTTTAAAAAAAACGCATAAAATTTGCAAAATCTCATCGGTTCTTTATTTGAAACGTTAGATTGGTCCATGACATTTACTTTTTGAAGATAATTTCATTTAAATGTTGACCGCGGCTGCGTCTTAGGTGGTCCATTCGGAAAGTCCAATTTTGGGCAACTTTTTCGAGCATTTCGGCCGGAATAGCCCGAATTTCTTCGGAAATGTTGTCTTCCAAAGCTGGAATAGTTGCTGGCTTATTTCTGTAGACTTTAGACTTGACGTAGCCCCACAAAAAATAGTCTAAAGGCGTCAAATCGCATGATCTTGGTGGCCAACTTACCGGTCCATTTCTTGAGATGAATTGTTCTCCGAAGTTTTCCCTCAAAATGGCCATAGAATCGCGAGCTGTGTGGCATGTAGCGCCATCTTGTTGAAACCACATGTCAACCAAGTTCAGTTCTTCCATTTTTGGCAACAAAAAGTTTGTTAGCATCGAACGATAGCGATCGCCATTCACCGTAACGTTGCGTCCAACAGCATCTTTGAAAAAATACGGTCCAATGATTCCACCAGCGTACAAACCACACCAAACAGTGCATTTTTCGGGATGCATGGGCAGTTCTTGAACGGCTTCTGGTTGCTCTTCACTCCAAATGCGGCAATTTTGCTTATTTACGAAGCCATTCAACCAGAAATGAGCCTCATCGCACACATCGAAACACATTTCGAACCGAACACTGATTTTGGTAATAAAATTCAATGATTTGCAAGCGTTGCTCGTTAGTAAGTCTATTCATGATGAAATTTCAAAGCATACTGAGCATCTTTCTCTTTGACACCATGTCTGAAATCCCACGTGATCTGTCAAATACTAATGCATGAAAATCCTAATCTCAAAAAAATCACCCGTTATGTGTGTATATTTGTTTTGCTATTTCCAAAATTTATAAAATTAATTATATTAAGTAAGCACGCAGTGCTGACATGCAAATGTTCCAACACTCAAATACATTTGCATGTTCAGCTATATAAAGACTAAACACGTACTAAACAAATGAATGAATGTACAAATTTACGAGTTGCAACAAATCGCAATTACATGAATTAATTAGCATTACTTGTAATATTGAAAGCTCAGTGGTGCTCATTGACATAAAATCCACAACACATTAAACATACAGTTAGAGTAATTACACGCACGCACTCATATTTACATATATATTGTTCCTGTTATAACTAAATTCACTCACAGAAGTACTTATTTACAAGATTTGACTATATGTTTTATTTATTTTATTTTTTTAATTTTTTTTTTTATTATACTTAATTCTTAAGAAACCATATAAATCCAATTTGCAATTATGCAATATTATTATGCAAAAGCCATTAAATACTCTAACTTTTAATGAAAAATATTTGTAAAAGTGGAATGAGGACTGACGTGCACCGTATAATTTTTTTTTTTACGCTACGCCTAGTACAACAAAATTTATATTTAGTATGCTCTACATTCATATGTTTATGCTTATGTATGGTAAACTTTTGAGTTTTGTTACATGTAATACCTAAAGGCCTCCACAAAGCTATATAAAATTAGTCTCGGTGGCAGATGCCATTTGAGTACCGCATTACATTCTCAACTTCAATTGATGCTTCCAAAATGTTAACTCCACTCCTAGCCAAAATTTGTGTGGTTGTTCACGGTAGATCCCTCCATTTGTATAACAACAGCAAGATGTGCATAACAAATTGGAGGAGGAGTTCGACCAAACATTTAACAAAAATATCAGCGCAAAAATATTTATTTAGTTTTAAGTCAAAAGAGTCAAAAGTAAAACCGTAATTCAGCCACAAATATAGCCTCAATGATCTAATAAAAATTGCAAAAACAAATACTAATTGTTGCTGAATGTTTAAGAAAGCATCTAAAATAACTTTGGAATATAAAATAAATTTAATTGTTCATACAAAATACTTACATATGTATGTAAGAATATTTTTGTTCAGCTTAAACTGTATACACACATTTCTTTTAAATACATGTACATACTAGAAATGTTAGTACCGGTATCGCGGGATGCTGGTATTTTTCAAGTCCCGAAAATCCTGAATTCCGGGGTTTTCGGGATTTGTTATTTATACTGGTGGCAATAATGGAAACGCTTTATGTTGACCAGCTTTGGCTATATTTCTTTTGTTTATTTAATATTTAAATTTTTTTTTTTATAAATGTGTAGCTCAATATACGTACATATAAAACCTTGCGACAGGTAATTTTTCACACACAAAAAAAAACAAAATATATTCGCCAAACCAGGGGCCAAATATAGTAAAATTGCGTTCTTAAATTTTCTCTCTGACGTCAGGATTTTTTAAACGAACTTTGAAATCTGAATGACAAATAACTGAAAAAATGGTTTAAAAATTTCCGACATCCCGAAAATCCCGGTATCGTAAAATTCGGAAAAAAATCAACATCCCTATGTATGTAGATATGTATGTAGATCGCACTCGTGCACTGTGTAAAGTTGGACACAATGCTTATTTGCATATTTCTGCTGCAGAATGCGAATATTGCATTTATAAATATTTATTTTTATTATACGAGTGTATGCGTGAGTGGGTAAATACTTGAGTTGTGCATATGTAAACAATCAAAGGACTCTAAGTTGTGTACAAAGTAAATACGTATGGACATACANCTACTCCCTTTTGGCAGCAGCAAATATCTCTCGTACGCGATGAGGGAAAGTAGAGTACGTACTTTGGTGGAGTAATAGCAAGTACGTCAAGTATTTACTCTCTCAACGCCAAGTAGTGTATGTATGCGGAAAAAAAGTAACAATGTGTTGGGAGTAGAGTACAATGCAAGGAGTACTTATTGAATGAAATGCGGCAAATACAATTGCGCTGGACTCTAATATGTACATATCAAATTTAATTCCAATGTAAACGAAAGCAAACGAAAAGTGGGTCACAGCATATAAACATACATACAAATATTTTGATGCATAGCCTGCAGAGACCACTGCACCAAACAAAAACCAGTAAGAGCGGTACTGCAACCGGTTATGCCGAAGGCTTCATACCTTTCATGAACAGCCGACAATTTTAATTTAAATGATTATTGCATAGAGGAGTTACTTACATATATCGCAAAAACTTTTATTTTAACAATCGGTAGTATAGGATAAATAGCTTATCCAACACCGATCTTGAAAATTTTCTTAGCGGACTTTGTATGATTATTTAGAAAATAGCTCACGAAATTTCACGACTTTAAAATAAAACGCTCATCGAAAATAAGTGACAACCTTACACAAATATTCGAAGGGATAACGGTTACTATATAAGCATAGTACTGCTTAAGAGCTTTAAATAGTAATATTGTAACTTAATTTTCTAAACAAGCAACTAATAAATAGACGATGACAAATAGGTGGCAACCCTATTCAAAAATATCTCTGGATTTAGGATCGTTAAATTACTTTGCATTTCATATAAATTTTATCGGGGATGCTACCTATCCAAATAACCTTAGAATGCCAAACATTATCTGCATTTATTAAAACCGTTAGAGCCATCTCCGAGAAACTTATGGATATATACATAGCATAGCTAAATCGGCTCAGTTCGACGGCAAAACCAAAATTATATTACCACTTCATGTTCATGAGGGGTATAAAAAAACATACATATTTTAATTTGCAGGAATTCTTATACATAAATATGTACGTACACATATCGAAAGAAGTGTGCCAATTTTATCCACAAAAGCGTTTGTATTTGTGCGCATGTGCGCATGTGAACCAAATGAACATCATAATAAATTCTATGGAATTACTGCTATCACAAAAAATAATGCAACACGTAACAATACTTTTACTTAGGTGCAACCCCTGTATTAGGCTGGGTCGATTTTGTATGGGGGAAAATAAAAGTCATTTGACCGCATTGTAATAGTAATATTATGATGTTTTAGGCCTAAGCCAATTGTTATTGGCCAAGAAAGATTAATTTAAAACTTATCTTTAGCCCGCGCAATTAAATCAAAGTGTATGAATTTCGAAAATGAAACTTTGGCTTGTAATATCTATGGAATGAGTTATTGTTATAAAAAGGATGATATATCAAATTAAGGGCTATTAAATTTAGTACCTCACGTTCATTTATCATTTTTCAATAAGTCTACACGTTTTTAAGATATGAAGATAAAACTTACAAAAACTATAATATTCCCTTATGAATTTTCAATTCTTCATTACTTCAGCAACCAAGTGAAAAATACAAACAAGTGAGACGAGATTTATTTCAAACGGTTTAATGTTTTCGGATGTTTATGTAATACTAGAGGGACCATAGACTTAGTCACGCTTAGTCGTGGTGAATGAATGTATTGTCAAAAATTAGGAATCGTTTGACAAGTTATTAGTAGTTTCAAACATATAAGAATTAACATACATTAGCATAATACAATTAGGGTGAGAAACGCCCATTTTAAGTCCATTTTTGCAGTCTTGAAAACTGGTGCGGAATGGTTTCATTAGTCGCTTTTTCTCCGGTTCTTTTATTTAAAGGTTATTTATACAATTGAAGATAATTAAAAAAAAAAAAAAAACTGGAGAGCCACTTAAGTTTTTCGATATAACTTTGGTAAATGTTACTCGATCGGTACGTAATAATTAACAAATTGAAAGCGAGACTTACTGTTACTGATTTATGATAACAATATGATGAAAATCGTTCAGATTATAAACCAGTTATTTTAATATAAAAAAAATTTTCAACATTTTTTTTGTCATTTTGCTATATTTGCAATTTTTAAATTGTATGCATAAACATAAGTAAACTAATTAGTGTTTCCAAAGTTGTGCCTGTTCAGTGTTTCCATACT